TGTCTGTATTTATTGGTTTCCCTTTTCTTTGTTGAAGAGGGTCTGTGCAATCCTTCTGCCTAGTCCGCCATCTTGCCCCGCCTCTCGAGTTTTTTTTTTTTAATATGAATAACTAAAACACATTTTTTAAAAAAGGAATTTATCCTCATTAAAATAGAGTAAAAAAATTTTAACCTAAGAAAAAGGCATGGTCTTTGGAGAACAGATTTCTATAAGGACATCTGAAGAATGATGTCAATAATTATAATATCATATAAGACTACAAATTACAGCATAGTACATTCTTGAACAATAGAAATTAGAATTATACTTTTATTGAAACATATTGTTATTTGTGAAAAACATCATGGTTTATGGTGAAGAAATTGATATTGTCAAAGATTTCATTCTACTTGGATCAACAATCAACATCCATGGAAACAGCAGTCAAGAAATCAAACAATAAATTGCATCAGGAAAACTGCTGTAAAAGACTTCTTAAAAGTCTTAAAAAGCAAAGATATCCTTTTGATGATGAATGTGCACCTGACCCAACCTACGGTGGGTATTTTTAATCATCTTATATGTGTGCAAACTTTAGCAAAGAAAAAGGAAGACAGAATAATGAACTCATCTGAATTATGGTGTTGGTGAAGAATATTGCTTATACCATAGACTGCCAGCAAAACAAACAAATCAGTCTTGGAAAAAGAGCCAGAATGCTCCCTAGAAGTGAGGATGGTGAGGCTTCATTTTGCTTACTTTAGACATGTCATCAAGAGGAACCAATCATTAGTGAAGGACATCATGATTGATAAAATAGACACACTGCCGTTTAATCAATTCCAACTCCTAGTGACCTTATAGAATTAGAACTACCCCATAGGTTTCCAAAGCTGTAAATCTTGATGGAAGCAAACTGCCTCATTTTTATCCTGCTGAATGGCTGGTAAATTCAGATTACTGACATTTTGGTTAACAGCTGAATGCCTTAACCACAGCACTGTCAGAGTTCCTTTGATAAAGTAGGAAAAAGCAAAGCAACCACTGCCATGGAGTCGGATCCAACTCATAGCATCTCCTTGGGTTTCCGAGGCAGTATCACTATGGAAGTAGATTGCCCAACCTTCCTTCTGTTGTTAAAGTAGAAGGTCAGTGAAAAAGAGGGAGACCTTCAATGAGATGGACTGACACGGTGGCTACAACAATGGGCTAAAATATACCACTGATTGTGAGAATGAAGCAAGGCTAGGCAATGTTTTTCTGTTTTATAGGCAGTTACAGGGATAAGAATTTTCGGCTTATGTACAACCTGTAGTTACTAACAAACCTCCATAGGTTTATTATATTAAATATTTTTGGTACAGACAATAGTTCTTGATAATAATTAGTCACTACTTTTTGAATTGCATCAAAACATTATTATTAGTTCATTTTTATGTTAAAGATGTTTTAGTTTGTTTGGAAGTGTTTCTTTAATTTTTTTTTTTTAAGTATAGAAAGGTACTCCGCATACCATATTCTGGGACAAATATTTGACTAACTGACATTCGATATGAACTGTACCTAATTATTATGGCTTATGTACAAATTTGACTTAAAGACAGGGATGGAACTTGTTCATAATCCAATGACTGACTGTATATAATGTCTCTATGAGTTGCAGCCAACTAACAACACCTAACAACAACATAACAAGTCTACATGACTAAAATTAGATTTCATGTCAAAGATCTAATTCATTATAAAGTTTTGAAATGAGAATTTAATTATACAGATGTGTATATTTAGGTCAACCTGATAAAGGCTATTTATTTGTTATTTATTTATTATTCTATGTAGAAGCAGAGAATGTATTAAGAAAAATGAGTCAAATGATAATTTCAAGTTTAGTAAGAGTAGAGTGTGGGGGCCCTAATTGAAACTTGTTGTTGTTGTTGTTGTTGTTATGTGCCGTCGAGTCGGCCCCGACTCATAGTGACCCCTCCTTGGGTTTCCGAGGCAGTATCACTACGGAAGTAGGATTGCCCAACCTTCCTTCCGAGGAGTAGCTGGTGGGTTTGAACCGCCAGCCGTCTGGTTAGCAGGCAAGTGTCTTAGCCACTATGCTACCAGAGCTCTTAATTGAATTAAATTTCCTTTGTTCATTATTTTTGCTAAGTATGGTATGACACAGTATATGATATAAAACTAAAACAAACTCATGGCCATTGAGTCTATTCCAACTTACAACAGCCCCCACTGGGTTTCTGAGGCAGTGAATCTTTACAGAAGTAGATTGCCTAGTCTTCCTTCTGCAGAGTGCCTGATGGGTTTGAACCACAAACCTCTGTTTAGCAGCCAAATGCCTTAGGTACTGTACCACTGGAACTCCTTATACCACATGAAGGAATGTAAAATTTTAAATGTTACTGTATTTCCTAAGACACATTTTTTTTTTAATATTTTGCCTAGATATTCTTGACAAAGTTTTGTATTCCAAAACAATTTGTATGGATTTTATGCAACACTGGGGAAAGCAATATGATGTTCACAGCCTCTATGGATACAGTATGGCTATAGCTACAGAGAAGTAAGTACAAATTCATTTAGAAATATCTTCATAATAATTTTCTAAAAGTATTTTGTGATAATCTTGCAGTACACTTGGAAAACTGGTCAGAGTAAAAAATGAAACAAAATGATAATTATGTATTCTAATTTCATGCTGAAATTTGTAGCTTTCAAACATCAGATCTAATATTCATGAATTTGGAACTCTGTTATTAAGAATTAAATGATATATGTTTTTAATTATGATTCTTTTAAGATTCCTAGGTATAAACTTTTCAAAATTTTATTTAGTTTTACATATCTGAATATAGTTGTGTTGTAATCTGAATATAATTGTGTTGTAAACATGAACTTCTCAATTGACCAGGGAGAATATTATTCCTAGAATGTCATTATTTTTCTAAAATGAAGGTATCAATTGAAATTTAGTTTTTTAAGTGGTGTTCTCCAATTATATATTTTTTAATATACTCTACTTGTAGAGTATATATGTATGTATATACTTGTATGTATGTATGTATATATGTATATGAATATAGTACTTGATGCAAAACAAATGAAGGGGAAAGCTGTACGTTGAATCTACCTTTTCCAAACATTGTATAACAGCACTAGTATCAATTGTCATCAAGTTCATTCTTACTCATGGCTACCACATATGTATCAGAGTAGAACTATACTCCATAAGGGTTTCAATGGCTGATTTGTTGTAAGTAGATCACCAGGTCTTTATTCCAGGAAACTCTGAGTATATTTGAATATTTATCTTCTGATTAGCAGCTAAGTGTTTGATGCTTTGCACAAGCAGGATCTAAAAGCATTTTATAAGATTCTATAATTTAAGTCAATTAAATCTAGATTCTAGTCTCAATAAATTTGTGATTTTCTCATAATCAAAGAACTATGATCAAGTCTAAATCCAATCTTATGTTTGCCTGGTCCAAAATCATACTATAATATAAAACATTTATACAATAACTTCATAAAATTAACTTACTTCCCTTTACACTCAATAAAGATTTATTTATTAATGCAAAGTCTAAGTCAGTTTAATCTAAAAAAGTGAAACAACACTCTATGCTACAGTAAGGTAAAGGTTATAAATATGGAAGAAGCACAAGTAGAAGTGAGATGGATAATGCTAGCAGTTGTGAATGGTGGTTGACTTCTAGAAAAAGACAAGTGTTTCTCAAATATGTAAGTTTTATGGCAACATTGCTTGCTGGTATTTAAAACTGCAAGTGTTAAGACATAATTAGAGTAATAACAATACAAAAATGTGTATTGAGTTCAAGTTTTGACTATTAAATTTTATATCTATAAAAGAATTTCAATGAGTTTAAAACATATTTCATATAGAAATGTTGAAGTGTATGTCAAAAGCACATGCTAATTTATTTTGGTAAATGTCTTTGTTACCTAGAGTTACCATAACAAGATATGACAAAGTGGATGAATTTAAAAAACAGAAATGTATTTTGTTCTGGAGACTAAAAGTCAAAGTCAGGATCTCAGCTAGATCAACTATTTCTGTGAGAATCTATCCTAGATTCTGGTAACTGCCAACAATCCTTGGAATTCCCTTGCTTGTAGATTCATACTCATATGGTGTCTCTCTTCTATGTGTGTGTGTCCATATTTATTCTGCCTTTA